TGGGGCAAAAAGCCCGTTATTTCTGTCTGTAGAGGGAAATGAACTGCACATTTTTGGTTTTAGATTACTAAAGGAGTAGTAATAAAGTGACTGTGTGGTCCAGGAAACTGATAACATGATACAGGGTTTTTCACCTCTAGCTCACATTTTGAAATTCACTGGAGGTTAGATGAGGGTAGATGTCATTATGAAATGTTTCTGTTAAATGATACTGGTCTTGCTATAGCCTCAGCATAAAAATGTTATCCTAATGTAGAGATTTGTGCTAATTTCTACCTTTTATGTTATATGAGAAGGGTGAAGGTTGGTGGGCATGGTACTGTGAAGACCAAAATGATGGTTTTGCCAAAGTTTCCTTCAGGTCAGCTTATGAGGAGTGCTAGCATGATAGTGCAATGAAGTTTGCACCACTGCCTTAGCTCTTGCTATATGTGATATATTTGTAAGCTTTATAAGTGACATTAAATGAACATGAAAAGTAAAGTCAATTGCATTGGTTTTGTGTAAACTTTATCACTGGTTAGAAAGAGCATTGCTTACTGCTTTTTATTTAGTACAATTTCTCATGAAAACAAAATTCGGGCAGTAGCAAATGGAAAGTGTCTCACTTTGAATCTTGAAGCAGCTCTGTTTTGTCCAAGATGAAACAGTTTTCTTCTCATCTCTCATGAGCAGTTAATGCATACTTTCCTAAAGGGTAAGCCAGCAGGGCTTGGATCAGACACTCCTACACTGAGACTTGCAATTCCTTGACACAGCTGTGCCAGCAGCACTGTGACAGGTTTTAGTGTGTCATGGGCTATTTTATTTTTTTTTTCTTCTATGTGTGACCAGTGAAATCTTTGTAGTCTTGCTATGGATCTGTGCCTTTGGTAGGTCTGTAAAGGACAGTGGTAACTGGCATTATCACTGTACTCTGATCCCAGGAACATACAGAGATTAAGACCCTGGTAATGAAATGGTAGTAAAAGATTTTATTTTAGACCTTTTACTTTTTACTATACTTCCCTATCATCTCGTCTTTCTTCAAACACAGCCCTATCCTGCATGTAATCTCAACTCAGATGGATTTTTTAATGCTGTGGTGATTTGGGACTTGTTCTTACAAGTTGCTGAATGCCCTACAGCTCTCATTAAAGTTGCTGAAAGTCATTCTTTTACATATAGGCTCTATAAAATGGTATGTTCAAGCAAAAGCAGGAGTGAACCCCTTCTACCTGGTGAATGCCAGTAATACAGTAAAAGAAAAAGGAAAATTTTCTACTTAATACAACAGCCAGTTTCAGCCAGAAAAATATCCCTTACAGAAGTGAATGCCTCAAAGAAATAAAATTGAAAATTTTATGAAATGCAGAAGGAAGATAACTGTAAACCAATTATTTATGTTGAGAGTTAATCTTGAATAATCACATTTGGTTCTTCCACAGGTCTCTTTTTTTTTTTTTTTTTTTTTTTTTTTTTTTCAGAAGTTTTGGCTGAGTAAGTATAAATATAAATAAAGGGTATATACATGACAATGAGCTCAATGGAAGTCTCTGAGGAGGTTTTTGACACACACCAAAGAAACTACAGATATGGCAAAGGAGAATAATACTTAGGAGATGAAGCATGAGCAGGAAGATCCTGAAATGCTTTTATAGTTAAGGAGATTATGTGGGAGCATGGGATGAAAAGTATAGAAAGGTGTATTTAGATGAGTGTAAGAAAAGTAGGATGTGGAAGCCCTCTTCATCAGGGAGATGAAAGTTTTCTCTCTGTGTGGGAGGAATTCCTGCCTCAGGTTCCACTGAAAATAAGATCTTAAGGAAAAGATTTTTATTTATCTTTTCTGACATGCTGCTGCTAAGCCAGTTTCTCACTATTCTGATGTAAAGTTACTGTGTTTGTGTCAGACCCTTTGAATAAAAAATGTCAGGGGAGCAAAATCAGATGATGATGATGATGATATTTTCTTGGGAGATTGGAATGACTGTCATATTTCTCATCCAGCTCTAGTTTTTGCTTTTGGTTGAGCTTTGAATACTATGTGTTGTCCTGGAAATGTTGTAACTTCACTGCCCCGTAAGCAGTTTCTGGAATCTCCTGTGAGCAAAGTGCTCTTGGAACTTAGGAGAGTCCAAGTGAAGCTCAGCACAAGCCACAGCAGAAATGAGTAAACTTGTAAATCTGTATTATCCTAGAAAACAAAACCAAACCAAACCTCCCACAATAAAACCTCTCCCAGTTAAGTGCAACTTCTTAGATGGACTGAAAAGAGCTCATGTCTACATGTATTTTGGAAACAGGATTCTGTTAAAATGTAGCACATAGAAAAACATTCCTCTGGAAGTTTAGTTTCCACAATCACCAAACTATGGAATTGAAGCTGAAGAATTCTAAAGCTGGAAACTGTAGTGCATTGTAGTACAAGAATAACATCAAAACAATATATAATTTTCCTCTTCCAGTGAGCCATTTATTTTTCCTGCTAAAAGTTTGTTGTATCTTTCTATTGCAGAGTTAGTATGGTGTTTAATTTCTCTTATATGTATTTGTTTCATGGGTTAAGTAGAAATCACTAGGGTAAGTATGTTTATATTTTAACTGCTATAGAAGCCTTACTGCTCCTACTGATTGAATAATTTGCATCATAGAGACTTGAAAAGCCTCTGCGTCCTCGAATGCAGATGGAGCTACTCAGAATACTGAAGATAGATGGTCTTCCCATGGAGATCCCCTCAGCTACTGAAGATTCCTTAATCAGACTATAGTCAGTGAGCTGTGCATTTGTGAAATACCTGTTTCAGTGTACCCACCAACATGGGCATTCAGGAAGCCTAAAAAATGCCCAAATTTGGGAGACATTTTTCTCAATTTTCTCAACTGTTTCCCAATTCTTATGTTGGTTAGTCACAGCTTTGTGCTCAACCTCATTCTTCTTCTGATAAAATATTTCTGTTCACATCAACAGGAAATCTTGGCTCCAGTGCCTAGCTGTGAAATGATGCACTATTTCCATTTTCATGTTGTTTTTTTTGTGGTTTTTGTTTTTTTTTTTTTTTTAAATTTTTTTTCCTGGACCCAATTTATTTGCTGCCAATTCTCCTTTCAGTTATTTTGGAGCAACATTCGAATTCTGATCTTCATCTGTTTGTCATAGTAACATTCAGACCCTGTTCCCCAAACCAGTCAAGACTGTAAAAATTCACTTGTGGCTGTAAATGGGCCCCATTCATTGTTCTTATCTGAGTGTTTTGCAGCAATACAACATAAGTTTTCTTTAGTTGTATAGTTGCCACAGTTATTTGTGGTTCTTCACACGATGTTGGTTGTATAGCATTATGAAAAGCTCTGGTTAGTTCAGAAAAGAAGGGAATGTGAATTGGTGATAACAGATAGATGAACTAGTAGTGTCATTAATTTTATTGCAGTTATTAGAGCACTTGGAATGGGAGTGTTGGAAGGGACTGAAAAAAGATACTTCCAAGCCTGCATTTACAGTGAAAAATTCAACATATGAATGGCAGTAGCTTTTATCCAAACTTCATTCAAATGTCAGAAAAGAGTTTTAAGTACATTGAAATATATTAGATGCCATGAATGGCTTTAAGTTGTTTATTACTAATGTGTAATTCAGTCATAGTGGTTGAAAGTCACTATGAAAGCCACCATGAAAGCCAAAGCTGACTGAGTTGTGCCAGAAGTAACCACAAGGTGCCAAAGTTTATTTAAAGTGGATTAAATTATAAAGCCTTTAATTTCTCTGATGTGGTTTTTTTGTGAGTTAGACATCACAAAGATAAGTGTGTTTACATTTTAATTGTAACCAGTTACATTTGTTAATCTGCACAACTGTAATCAATTGAATGCACTGATGACCCTTTCAAAGCAGAGCCTGTGCAGCTGAGATGTGGTGTGATGCCTTGCACAGAGGTAATGTAGGCTGTAAAACAGCCTCACCAGGACCACACTGACACCCATCACACAGGTACATGAACCTTATTGCTTGTTCTGTTGTGGGACAGATACTAAATCTGCATCCACTCTGATCTGCTGAAATTTTCTACACACCCTGCGTTTTTAAAAGAAGTGTATATGTGATAGTTGGAGAGCAATATAGCCTGTAGCCTTTTCTGGCTACATTTAACAAACCTGGATCTTCTGGGGGTGGGGAAGAAGGTGACATCAAAACATTTCATTGCAATTTTTGTATCCATGAAAGGTTCCAGGTTTCAGTGTTTTAAGTCAGTGTGTGATACATACTTGCACTGAAAGCTGAGGAAACTGTTTGGGCAGTGCCCTGTGGCCAAAGGAGTGTCCTGGTCAAACCAGGATCTGACTGAACTGAGATTCTGGTATATTAATTGCAGTTGTATTAATTTAATTATTTATTTTTGGGCTTTAATTATGTATTTGGTTCTCTTGGCTGTGAAAGTCTTGGCCACATGAATTTCTTAGTTTTCACTGAGATTTCTAGACTGGACTGTACTTAGCCCACGTGCCAGCCATGCTGGAGGGCTCCAGTACTGCTGGGGCTTCACTGTATATATTCATCTGTTAAGAAGCTGAACTAAATAAAGCCTCAAGTTAAGGGCTGGGTTTATCCTTTTAGAGATCATCTGATATCCTCTGCAGCTGAGGTTGGTTCTGGAACTGGATGTTTGTCTGAGATACAACCTGCCTCAAGCACTTGCAAACCAAAACCAGTAGTGGAGTCAGAAAAAGAAGCATGCAAATGTTTTTCTTTACACTCTACAGAATGTCTCTGGAGTCATAGTTCAAGCAGGTTTTATGCTTGGTGCACAATTCTTCATGTTTCTGCACACAGTTAGTACTATTCCTTTTTTTATAGTGGCCACAAGTGACTGTGATCATATTAACATTTCAATACGCAAATTCACTGCATTTGGGTGGGCTCATAATTTGGAGAAAACATTTCTTTTTATTTGTGTACTCTTTGTAAAGTGGTTCAGAGGTGCTAAAATATATTACAAAGACAAAAATCTCCTTTTCAGGAGGAATGTAGTAAGCATAGACTCTCTTCTGGAAAGATTATTTTCAGGAGGTGACAGATTTGACTTGGTCCCTCCCCAATTAGCTCTCCTGAAGAACGAGGCAGTGTCTGCACTGACAGGATGCTTCTTTGGGGATTCTTCCTTGTGTTGTCACCTCTGGCCACAGGCACTTGGGGAAGACAAGAGTCAGTCTCTTAAGGACATTCTGGAGAACAGGAAAATAAACAAGTATCCCCTAAATACATGAACTGGCCATCTGTATGCAGGGAAGGGGCAGTTCTAAGTCAGGGAGAAGTTTTGTTTCTGCTGATTGAAGCACTGTTCAATTTGTACTAAAAGGACCGTGAGTTCATGGTTTTCTTATTATAGTACTTTGTCAACTCATTTGTTCAATCCATTTTTTGGAATTGGCTGAAAAATTACAGGATATTCACTGCAATAGAAAGAAGAAATCCAAATCTCCTGGGTGGCAAACCTTAATTGTTGCATTTTCTCTGAATGACGAAGGCATCAAATCCCAGCTATCTAGGCAGAAGAGTAATTTCCAAGGCAGGCCACTCACATTCAATTCTCTTCCTCTGAAAGTGAAGCAATAAATTATGCTGGTGTTTAAGGAATAATCTCTGTGACTTTAAAGAACATAAACTATCAGTGGCACACCAGTCTGACTGTGCTAAATGCTGAGCGCCTTCTCTATCCGAGCGAGTAACCTCATCTCCCACGGAGCTGCAGGTACTGGCATCCTCACTCAGTGGAATCACTGCTCAGAGGGCTCGAGCTGTAACTGAGGCAGCTGTGCTACTGACTGGGCTTGGTAAGTGCAAGCACTATTAGAGGGTGCCATTAGATGAAGTCACTGAGCCATTAGGAAGCCTGCAAAAATGAGTACCCTCTTCCAATCTGAAAAGTGTTGTGGTTGGGAATATACCCACTGGACACCCTCAAGGGAAGATTTCTTTCACACATAGTGACTCTATCAGGATTACCAGCCAGCATTTCACCAGCATGAGACTTAGCCTTGTAACATTTCATGGATCCCTACATTGTGCTGAGTAGTGCTGGTCATCTATTATTAATATGCTCACATTTTTTGCTAGACCAAAAGTATGTTATTTTCTTATTAAATCTTCCATTACTTTAAGATGCTTTTAAGGTCACTTCTGCTCTCATTCTATTAGTTGCAAACAAAGGGTTTTCAAGTGTCAGAAGTTAATATATGCTGATATCTGAAAAAGCAAGTAAATATGTCTGATACATCAAATTCAGAGGCCATTTTCTTATATAATGATGCCTTGAAGCCTCATACACTGTTTTTATAAAATATTTCCCTTTTTGCTATGTGAGTGCATATTCATACACAATTCTAGTTTTGTATTAGAGATATTGGCTGCATGACAATGTGAGCCTTTCTCCTATAATGGTTATTATTTGTCATGCATAAAGAATTCAGAAATCTCTTCAGTTAGAGAAGTAGTATTGTGTTTGCTTACACAAGTTGGTGGAGGTAGTGACATCTTTCTTCAGCTTGGAGATGGCTAGAGGGAAGCCAGTGTGCATATAGGAACTCTGAAGTTAGCAGAGAGAGTTAGAGAACTCTCATGGCAGAGAAGTACACCAACAGAATCTCAGTGCTGCGTTAATAGCCTGCTGCTAATGGCCAGGGTCATCTGGAATGGTTTTGCCTTTGTTACATCATGACTGAGGCTCAGCACAGGAGCAGATTCTCAGTGCTGTGTTGGAAGTTGAATCATTTCTGGAGTTCCCCTGCAAATCTCTTGGTATTTTGATTTCTTTTTTGACACGCATCAAAGAAACTACAAATACAGTAAAGTAGAATAATACTTTGGAGATGAAGCATGAACACAGAAGATCCACTTCTGTTTCCTAAAACTGTACACAGGACCTAATGTAGAATAAGTTTCCTCCTAATTATTTAACTGATGTAGGCATAATTATAACTGTCCCATCTTTATTCTGTTAATTTCCAGATAAATTTTTACTTTACCACTAATAATACTAATACAGGCATTGAATCTTACCAATAACCCCTCCTGCTTAGTTAATCTATTTATTTCTGTCCTTCTTGCAAGTTATTTTTTAATCCTTAGGGAACTTTGAACTATTTCTCAGAGCTATGCTCAAAAGTGAGTTTGTAGCCTTTTTCTGCCACTGCTGCTAGTAGAGCTTGCTTGAGGCCATAGAGAAGTTGGGACAAAGCCAGGGGAAAAAACTCAGGCTCATGTCTTAAGCACAAGATAACCATTCATCTTTTATAAGCCTTTCTTTTCTGATGATTTCAAATTCTCAGAAATGATGACCTGGCAATTGAAGTGTTCATGCTTTTTCATTGCACAAATGCAGATTTTTCCTTGGAAATTTTTGCTCATGTCATGCTGGTGTGTTACAAGCAGCAAGGTGTGTGGTGATGGTACAAATGAGGTCAGTATCCCTTGCTTTTTCTGTTAATAGATCATTCAAAACTCACTTTCTGTGGCTTTTTAGCCTCTGTAAATGCATTAACATCAGTAGATGTTTGGTCATTTATACTTGCTGAATATCAGTTTTAAAAGATAACAGCTGAATACTTGATTTTAAGTGTTCTTCACATATTTGAAAAAATTGCTTGGATATTAAATGCATATTTAAAAATATTTATTACCTCCATTACCTACAGTAAGACACTTTGTAGACCTTGAGATTATAATGGTGTCACTGGTAGTTTCTCATACCATCACCATGTCTTCTTTAGGGGGTTTGTACATTCATCTTCATTCATTCTTGTCTTATTTTGGAAAGTGTAAAGGTCCTCACAGTTTTTAGCAGAAGGCTATTGTTACAGGGAAGACTCAGATAGTCTGTAACTTCTGACCTTTCCAGAACATTTTTTTATATCTCCTTGGAAGTAGCATGGACAGGTGGTGATAAGGAAGTTGAAAATATGACCAGCATACACACAACCATGTTCAGGAAATAATATGGCCTTCTTTAATATTGAAGGAAAAAAAAAAAACAAAGCAAAAATTATGGGAAAAACCTATTCCAAAACCTATTGGAAATTAGTGAAATATTTTCACACTGATTTCAGGTTTTGTATTCAGCCATGCACAGTTTTCTTCATATTTTTTTAAAAATTTTTCTTGGGGTGTGTTTTCCTTTAGTTTTAATTTTTTTCAGATGATTAACTGTGCTTTATTAGAGTTGCTGCAAGAGACAGAATTTAGGCTTCCCCTGCTGTGGTTTATTGAAAATCTTAATCATAACATCGCATTAACAGAATTCTTTACATTTAGCACTTTTACTTGACAGGGTAGAAACTTTATTATGGCTGGAATTATTGTCTAAAGCCCTTTTCAGAGGTGTGAGGAGAGACACATTATTAATGCTGTTGCTCACCTTTCAGAAGAAAGGGAGAGCTGTGAGCAAGACCTGTAACTCAGGCCTGGAACCAATATATTCCACAGCATCATGGTAAAATAATGGTAGAAGGTAAGAAAATACAATAAATGGTCACCTTTCTGATAATGTAAGACAAGATTCCTGAAGTACATATAATTTAAGTTCTCACAAGGAGTGGTAAGAACTGGGGCAGTGGTAATATCACAAAATCACAGAATTGTTTGGGTTGGAAGGGACCTCTGGAGAACATCTCGTCCAACCACCTGCCAAGGCAGGGTCACCTAGGACAGGTGACAGGACCTAGGACAGAACTCATTCAGGTGGATTTTCAATCCCTCCAGAGGGGAAAACTCTGTGACCTCCTTGGGCACCCTGTATCAACAAGAAAGGCAAGCCCTTGCTTTAAAGATGTTTTTAGATACAGGTGCACTTTTCATTTATGCAGGCGAAGAAAGCCTTGTTTTATTTTATTCCCTTTGAAAAAAAAAGAGAAATATTCTTACTGAATTTTATGGCAAAAGGGTTTGTGATTCTGGTTTGAATTGTGCATATTTTTCCCCATTTTCTTTCATTGAAGAATTATTTTTACATGCAAAGTATATATACTATATGGGTTAAACACTGCTCCATCTTTACTTTTCTATGAAAACAATAAATTTCCCAGGGATTAGGGGTCCTTTTACAGGGGTGTTTGATTAAGAATGTATTGTTTGTACAGTTGATTCTGTCTGGAGGCATATGATCTCTTGTGGCTGCTTTTGACCCTGATTTCAGAAATGGCTGAAAGGAAAAATGCACAGTCTGAATTAAAACCCACAAAGGACTTGCAACAGAAGTCAGAGCTAAAGATCATGTAATGAAAAATTTGTAGTGATACACATTTCTTAGTTTTTTTCTAGCCGTCTTTGTGGGCTGCAGTCTTAGCACTATTGGCATAACTTCGTTACAGGAGCCTTTAGGTTTAGATGTGACATATGTCAACAGGATTTTCTTTCTTTCTGTAGGCTGTTAGAACACCTCTTTAAATGTATAAACTAGGCTAAGACAGCCCTCATCTGTCCACTGATGCAGCCATGTCCCTATCAGGGGCTTTACTTACCATCCTAGAGCAGATAGCTGTGGTGTTAAAGTTTTTGTGTGAGCTAATAGAAGTACAGGGCAGTTATGGCACAATTTTGTGATATAAACTGCTTATGCAAAAGTGAGAAGTATATTCAACTGCTATCAATACCAACAAGTGAATGGGAAAGATGCCTGTACTGCTATTGCATGCAGAGTTTTGAGGCAGCACTTTTTCCTTTAAAAACAGTGAGTTAACTGGTATGTTTTGAAGAATGAGAGTCTCATTAATGGCAAGCAGAAAATTGTGTGCAACATTTGAACACTGATTATCAGAAAGACCATTTGTTAATTATGAATTAGGCCAAATATGTTTCTTTTATGCATGTATTTTGTTGCTTTAAAAAGTAGTTGTCAAGGGTTCTAATAATGACAGAAAATAAACAGCTGAAAGGATGGGAAGGAGGACAATGGCAGGAGAAAAGAATATGTGTTTGCTTTTGCATGTGAGGATCTTGTTTCTGTTGCTGTATCATTCCAGCCTTACTCTTTTCAAGTATCAGCTGACCTTTGATAAACATGTTGATCCCTGGGGTACTCCTTGTTTCTAAGATTCTAAGATAAAACAAGTAAACCTGCTAGGGTCATCTTCTCTGTTTCTTTGTCTTTGATCTGGAGAGCTTGCAGTTTCTCACAGACTTTATAAAAGGCCCATGTCCCCTGAATATGTGCTGGTGACTTGGAAATGCATTTTCTCAGTCTTGGATTTTATGATAGTTTTCTTCCATATACATATTCTTCTCTAGCTATTTACTGGATGTGCAAGGGTTACCATTCCTTAGACTGTCCAAAGCCATTTACTGAGTGGATACTTTTCATTTTGAATCATATTTAAACACATTTTGTACTGAATTATTCCAGTCAGTATGAGTCTGTGAAAGGCAGGTGCTGCTGACCAACTGATCTTCTTCTATGAAAAGGTGACCCACCTAGAGGATGGAGGAAAGTCTGTGGATGTTTTTTACCTGGAGTTTATTAAAGATTTTGACACCATTTCCCACAGCATTCTCCTAGAGAGACTGACTACTTGTGGCTTGGAATGTACATTTTTTGCTGGGTAAAAGACTGTTTGGATGGCTGGGTCCGGGGAGTTGTGGTAAATGGAATTAAATACAGCTGGCAGCCAGTCACAAGTGGCGTTTGTTGCCCAGGGTTCAGTTTTGGTGCCTGACCTGTTTAATATCCTTAACAACTGGCTTTGGCAATTGAAGGTACCCTCAGTCAGTTTGCAGATGACACCAAGTTTGGCAGGAGTGTTGATCAGCATGCTAGAGGACGAGAGGGCTCTGCAGAGGGATCTGGACAGGCTGGATTGCTGGGCTGTGGCCGATATTAAGAGATTTGACAAGGCAGCAAGGCCTTATCCTGCCCTTGTGTCACAACAACCCCATCTCTCAGAAGAGAAGCACCTGGGAGTGCTGGTCAGCAGCCAGTTGAACATGAGCCAGTGTGTGCCCTAAATACAAGAAAGACGTTGAGGTGCTGGAGTGTGTCCAGAGAAGGGCAGAGGAGCCAGGGAAAGGTCTGGAGCACAAGTCCTGTGAGGAGCAGCTGAGGGAGCTGGAGCTATTTAGCCTGGAGAAAAGCAGGTCCAAGAGGTACTTAATTGTTCTCTTATGACTAGAAAGAAGGTTGTAGGGAGGTGGGGGTCAGTCCCTTCTCCCAACAAGTGATACTTGGAAAAATATCTTCCCTGAATGGGGACTGTTAAGCATTGGAACATGCTGCCCAGGGAAGTGGTTGAGTCACCATACAAGAAGGTATTTAAAAGATTTGGGACTTTGGAAGATGGTTTAGTGGTGGCCTTGGCAGTTTTACATTGATGATTTGATGATCTTGAAGAACTTTTCCAGCCTAAATGATTTTATGATTCTGTAAGAACTCAAGTTAGAGGAACCATCAAGAATGAAGCAAGCCATTACTGAGGCCTTGGGGCAGTTATCAGTGTATCTTTCTTTATAAAAAGACATCTAGTTGTTGAAATCTTATCTTTCTGCTGCTTAAGTTTCCTTACAACTAGAAAATATGTCCCAGTGCCTTGTGCAGACGTGGATTTATCTAGGAATGGTGAGGTAAGTATCCCCTTCTCTCATAAAAAACTTTTGGTTGCATGACATGGAGATGCTGCTCATTCACACTGCTGCTAGGTCCAGTCCTTGTGCATTTTGATTCTCATTTGCTTCAATGTAAGACAATTATTTCCAGTTCCTTTCTCTTAATGTGTGTATTTGGTATGTGTGGTAGGATTTTGGTAGCAGGGACACCACAAGGGTGACTTCAGTGAGAAGCTGCCAGAAGCTTCCTCTATGCCTTATAGAGCAAATTCTAGCCTCAGTCAGCAACAGTATCTGTAGTAACATATTTAGGAAGGGGGAAAAAGTTATTGGGCAGAGGTAATTACATCCAGGAGCTGGGATATGTGAGAGAAAAAGTTCTGCTTCTCCCTTTCCTACCGTGATTTGACTTGTAGAAAATTTAATTTATTTCACCAAGTCTGTTTTGCCCATGACTGCAACTGGTGAGTGAACAAAGGAATGGTGAAAGTGGATATTGCTAGTGGAAAAACCCTCATATGTGGAGAAAAAAAAAGTGGTTTGAGTGGTAGTTTAGACTTTGATTAATCTTCAGCATTGTGTTTTTTTTTTTCCTTTGTCCTCACCTTAGACTGCTAAATAAATATTTTTGAAATCACACAATATAAAATGAATGTCTTCTGTTGGTGGCTTAGTGAATATCTACTGGTAAATTCTCACAGAACTATGTTCTAAAGTAATTTTCAGGAGAGAAATCTTCCTCTTGGCTGGAATTTAACTGGGAATGTTGCTGACAATATACTATATTGTCATGAGGGGAAACCATGCTAAGACTTACAGATCTGCTGTAAATTCCTAAAGGAAAATCTTGGCACATAGCATTTTCATAGGTTTTTTTTTTTTTTTTTTTCCATTAATGCCTTGTCCTAATTTTTGAGAAGTTGAGTCACAGTTTATTCAGTTTGAAAATCATATATCCAAAGCTTGGAAATATGCTGGAGGCTCTAGGATATTTTTTCTGTATATTGATTATAGAATTTTGATATTGCCTTTTTCTTGTTGGTGTTCTTTGAATGCTCAACACTTTCTGGAGTTTCAAAATGTGTCTAATAAGGGTGTATTTTCAATTATCATCATTATTTTTTTGTTTTTAGGGCGTGTTCTGTTCCTTACAAACAAATAAAAAAGATCATCATCTTGTAAATGACTTTCAGGTCAGCGTGTCACCCAGTGTCCACTCCCTGTGGGCCTACAAAACAAACAGTGATGCCGTTTCAAGGACTGTCACAAGCACCAGGTTAAATATACTTGGCACTATGGGTTCTTTGGGATCAAAGGCTCATGCATGGTTTTGTTGCTTTCCTGGCTGTTGAAACAACAGCCATGAAGTGGTCAAAGCAATAAAGGAGTGCATGTGCTCTTCTTTATCATCCCAGTAATTTAGATCATTCTGCTCAGTTGGTGGAGTTCAAAGAGCCCAGTTTCAGATAACTGACAATTTCCTACTTAATCTCTTATTTTGAACAACGTCTGGCACCAAGAGATGGGAACACTGAGGTGCATCCATATCAAGTTCATAATGTTTTCTACCTTCTGTAGATTAGAGTCTATGAAATATATAAACATATAAGGTATGCAAAATAATGGTAGGTTCTAAATCAGCAAAGGTAAGATGTAAAGATCAAATCTTATAGATTTGTGGAGGGCTACCATTAATACATTGGTTTAAAAAGAGACTACACTATTTGTTACCTATTCCTAGCTATGAAAGAAAATACATTCTCTGGGAGAGAGCTCAGTATTGACATTGAGTATTAGTATTGTAAAACCTAGTTCATTGTTCAGCCAGATGTTTTACAGCTAGAAAAGCAGCAGGATTTTTGGGAACTACAGATAACAGATGTCTCAATATTTGTCTTTTTGATCTTCTTT